CATTCTTCCTTTCAGCAAAGATTATGAATTCTGTTCAAATGGTGTGTATTTCTATTGTGGAAAGATGGGTTCAGGTAAGACATTTAACCTCATTCGTCATATACTCATAACAGAGCGTTTAGGAAACGACTCTTACTATGACCAAATCATTATATCAGCAACTTCAGACTCTATGGACTCAACAGCGAAAACATTCATGAGTAAAGTTCAAGCCTCTGTCGTTAAAGTTCCAGACAGTGAACTCATTGAATTTCTTCAACGTTACATTCGACGTAAGAGGAAATATTATGCCATCGTTGAATTTATACAGTCAGGAATGCAAAAGACTTCAGAAGAGATGGAAAGAATTATTGACAAACACCACTTACGTCAATACTCAGGAGTTTACGATATGAAACGACTTACAAACTACATTCTGTCAAAACTTTCAAAATACCCCTTCAAAAAATATCCTTCAAATACTTTGTTAGTTTGCGACGACTTCGCCGGAAAAGGTTTAGTTTCAAAACCAGACTCACCATTAGCTAACATCATTACTAAAGTCAGACATTACCACTTAACTGTAGCAATACTTATGCAAACATGGCGTTTCCTTGCTTTAAACATAAAACGTCTCATAACTGACTTCGTTATCTTTCAAGGTTTCTCACGCTATGATATTGAACTCATTTGGAAACAGTCAGGTATAACATTACCTTTTGAAGAAATTTGGGAAGCATATAAGTCTCTCATCTCTCCTCGTTCATACCTCGAGATTCATATCATGACTAATACCATTAAAGTCAAAAATATTCCATGGGAACGACCAACATTGTTTTAAAGTTTAACCTTCAATTGACTGATGGTAAACAAATTCCATGCATCTCTGTCGCCATTTCTGTTAATATTTTTGCTGTCATTCATATCATCCACTTCTCCATCTGTTAGCTTTTGAGGATATGTGTTAGAATAGCTGTTCTTAAATGAAGGCTTTTCACTTTGAGAGCATAAACTCTATAACTTTCTGCATACTTTATGTTTGAACCTCCTGAGCCATCATTGACATAAATTTTTATAGGCTTCCACCCTTTGTTCATGTTCCTGCTTCTTCCCTTAGCTCTTTTGTTCAGTAGTTCTACATCTTTATACACAGCACCTGTCTCAGTGAATTCAACAATATTTTCATTCGTTAGCTTTACATTCAAACCCTTGTCGAGTATATTGTTCATTTCATACATATAAAAGGTTTTTATTCTATATGAAATGAGAAGCAAATCCATCTTAGCTGGTGCCGTTAATGTTCCAATTGAACCAACATCAAATGTTGACTCACGAACGACAAACAATATTGTCATAAAGAACTATAGTTCAGAGTGTTTGAAAGAAAAAGAACCAATCTTAAGTCGGTGAATTTAAACTCAGCTTCAAACGCTAACGCTACATCAGATGTTAAGTTAGAGTATCCACCACTGGACCAAATTCTTTCAAGAGAAGCCAACGACAACCCTTACATAAATGTTCAAACAAATCCTTCAGATAACGTAGACCATTACCTTCTTCAGTTATACCAAACAATTTTACTCAAAGACGATAAGAAGCTTTTGACAAATCTTATAAGCAAGAACCAAATAATTCTAACAAAGGAGGACCTTGAAAATGTTATATCACGAATAACAGGGAAACAATGTGTCATTGACTATCTCGACCCTGAAATCGAATGCTGTGGTCAAACTCCACTATTCATGAAAATAGGTAACATCCGCATCATTGAAACACCAGGAACTACAGGAGTTGAGTTTAAGTATAAATATTCGAACGAGTATACAAAACTTTCAACAGAATATAAACTTTGCTTGAAATATGTTTTAGTAAATTAAAGCAATTTGTAATATCTGTCCAAAACTTCTTCAACAGTATCGAACTCATCTTCATAATGCAAACCTAATCTTATTGACTTGGTGCAGTTTTCACTAACACAATATAGCGCTTTGCGCTCGGCGCCTTTGACGCCTTTTTCTGTTCTCTTGACTGACATAACTAACTCATTTGTTTCATCAAACAGCAACAACCAAAGTTCATGACCTAATACATAACATTCATACTTTATATTTTTAGCTCTGAGTTCTCTTGTAAGCTGTTGCATTTAATATTTTCTAAAAAGTCAACTTCAACAGTCATTCGCACTGGTGCCTTCAGTTCTACAGGCTCTCCTTGAAAGTCAACAAGTCTGAATTGCATGTCTTTCAAATTATGAGGACTAATGCGAACCCATTTACCTAAATGAGTTGCTATGACAGGAACGTTTGGAATGAACATTGAATTGACTGCATAACAGAAGGATTTATATTCTACTGAACCTTTACTATTAACTCCTGAAATGCCTGTGACATTAGCTATTTTAGACTCAATGTACAAACAATTACCATAACATACGTATGGAACAGATTTCATCTCAATCGTTTTGTCAACACTTTTCAAAGGAAATGTCATATGGTATGCTCCTAAAAGAAGTTGAACTCTATGACTCATTCGTGTTATCTTGAACTCTTTCTTGCTACTGAACTTCAATGTTCCCTCAGAAGAGAGTTCGACATCTATGTTGTCAATAGTTTCTTCATTTATGAGAGTATCTATGACTCCAGCAATTTTATCTATTCTATACTCTGCTCTGTTAGGAAATGTTATAAAACTTCTTTTGTCATCTATTTCAATCTCTATGAAATCTGTTTCATCTGTTATGACAAAAGTTGCGATAGTATTGAAGTCAACAACTCTGAAAGCAAGCGCTTCATTCTGAAGACCTAAGTTTGTTTGTAGCTTTACTGTCCCGTATTCGTTTGGGTCTGTACTTTGCAAATAGAACAACATTTTATTCTCATTAAAATATGACTATTGCTGCATATGCGTATGAAACAAATGAAGCAAGAAGAGCACATGAACTAGTAAACGAAAACTCAACTTTAACCATTGAAGGCAATGATTTAGTCATTGACGATGGAAAAACTAAAAAAGTCATTGATTTCGATACTTTTAACACTTATGACCCATTCATTACAACAAGCAAAGTTCCTATTATAAATGATGGAACGGTGCAATATATAAATTCTACAGTAGATGCCTCATTAGTGAAAGTACTGAATGTTCTCATTGAATTGTTAAAAAGCTTTCGATTTGACGACAACATTAAATGCCTAAAGAATTTAGTCATGAATGAGAAACAAATTCTTGGCGTTGCTGGTAGCAGTAATGATGTACACCTTATGACATTAGAATATTATAACGAACATAAAGATGAACTGAAAGGAGAGAAGGGTGACACCGGACCTCAAGGACCACAAGGAATACAAGGAATACAAGGAATACAAGGACCTCAAGGCGAGAACGGTTTGGATGGAAAGGATGGAAAGGATGGAAAAACTGCTAAATCATGGATATGGGACCTTATAAATACTGGTTTAACAGCTGCTTCATATGGAGTTCTTCAATACCAAATCGGAAAGATATGGGCAGTACTTGGTGAAGAAGCTTTAGATGACGTTAAAAATGCTTTGAACTTCATTTCAAATGGTTCGGATACTATTAAAACTTTATCTGGTTGGATGCAAGAAACAAGGAGTCAAATAGATACTGTAAGACGTATAGCAAACAATGCACGTACGGGATTGGATACTTTACGAGAAGCACAAAATACACTAAAGGAAGCAAATAATATTCTTGGCTCAGTATCAGACATGCATGAAGATTGGCTTAAAGGTATTGACAAATCTTTAAAAAATCACAGTCAGTCTATTGCTGACTACAAGAAAAGTATAGATTTTTTACATAGTGCTATGGACGTACATGATGGAAGCATAAGGAACTTACTTAATGCTAACAATAACTTACCAGGAACTATTAAAGCATTTATAAAGTCCTTTGTAAAACCTGGTGCTCTAACATTTAGGTCTTTGAGAGCAAGAGCATTGAAGTCAAGAGATGCAGAAACTCCAACAGAACCTACAGAAGAACCACCAAAACCAACAGCTAATGAAATATTGTTCGAATATTTTCCAAGGTACTCTGTTCTCATTGCATACATTCAAGAAATACTTAAGAAAGCAGACTTGACTTTAGGAGATGATGAAAGTTCTGTATATCTTTCGTTCCAGTTTCAAATAGCAGAACTTTTGAGACAGATATGCTTAATGTATGACAACATCTCTGATTTCACAAGATATGATGACGACCATGACCCCGAACACGGTGAAGAAGAAGTTTTACAAACATCCATTAAGACAGGAAAGGTTTTAACTCAAAGTCTCATTATTGACACCAAAGATGGCGAAGTGGACGTTCTTCAAGAGCTGAAGAAAAATACTTCTTCGGGAGGTGGTGGTAGGCATGAACTTGAAATAAATGAGATAGAAGAGAAATTAGCCGAAAAAGCAGATAAAGAACATAAACACAATATCTCCGATATAAATGAACTTCAAGCTACATTAAATAGTAAAGCAGATAAAAATGAACTTGACGCAATGAACAAAGTTTTGAAATCTCATAAACACAATATCTCCGATATAAATGAACTTCAAGCTACATTAAATAGTAAAGCGGACAAGAACCATGTTCATTATATAACTTCAGACGAACAGATTATAACGGACTACCATGGATATTTAACACGAAGTGATGAAGCGAAGACAAAAAATGTTAATGAAAGAAGATATAAATACATTCGTGCTAAAGGTTATGACATAAGCTGTACTGTACAGTATGATGTAGCTAAAGCACCAGAAGCATTTGGTTATACCGGTGAAATTTATGCCTCTACTTTCAATGTTAACGGTGTATTAGTTGAACCAAGATTTACTTTGAGAGTTAAGTCAAAAATAACGTTTGAAGATGCTATTAAAAGTAAAGCTGACAAAGTTGAACTCGAAGCAATGAACAAAGTTTTGAAATCTCATAAACACAACATCTCCGATATAAATGAACTTCAAGCTACATTAGACAGTAAAGCTGACAAGAACCATACACATAAATCCTTCACTACTGTTAGAGCAGACGACATAATATTGAACTTTGACCTTGGTTCAAGTGCACCATTAGAAAATCCAAGTACAAGCGTAAAAGATACACTAAACAGTTTAGATAACAGTTGCAGGAACATTGAAAGTCATGCCAGAAACTTTGAAGCATATGAACTACCAGCAATGTTAGATAAGAAAGCAGACAAAACAGAGCTTCAAACATTAAAGACAGAAATACTTCAAACATTATATCCCATTGGTTCTATTTATACGTCAATGAACTCAACAAATCCAGCAACAGTTTTAGGTTTTGGTACATGGCAGCAGATTGTAGACAAATTCTTATACTGTGCTAACTCTTCAAAGCAAACAGGAGGTTCGAAGAAAATTACTGAAGCAAACCTTCCACCGCACACTCATACAGGAACTACAAACTTTTCTGGCGACCATAGCCACTCATTAAGAGACCACCCATTATACAACTCAGAGTATGAAGCTGGCAATGACGTTTTATCTCCATCTTATAACAATGCAGCAAAAAAGACTTTTCGACCAACTGAACCAGGAGGAAATCATTCACACACTTTCACAACAAATCCAACAGGCTCGGGTGCAGATTATATGCCACCATTTGTGACTATATTCGCATGGTACCGCGTTCAATAAACACACTTGAGCCTGCTTTGCGGGCTTACCGTCTTGAATAAAATCTTTAACTTTACATAAATGAGTTTGAAAGAAGTATTCGAACAACATCCATGGAGGTCATTTAAGAAGTTCAATGAAGCTGCAAAGAGTCGGGGATTTACTAACAGAGCTGAAGTGAAAAGGTTCTTTGACAAAAATGTTGTACATCAAACAAAAATAAACCCTTACGACTACTTTTTACCAATTTACTCCAACGCTCCTGACGCATACCAATTTGACACTCTCATTCAAAGCAGAAAAGGAGGACATAAACCATTCCTCATCTTCATAAATGTTAACACTCGTAAAGCATATGCATATCCAATGAAAAATAAAGGAACTCGTGAAGTGTTAAGAGTTTTACAAAAGTTTGTAGCAGAACATAACCCAAGTACTTTAACATCAGACCAAGACAGTGCATACCTCAGCAATGAAATCACAGATTTTCTCATTAAGCATAACATAACTCACTACACTACTGAAGACCATAACCATAACATACTCGGCATCATAAACCGCTTCATAAGGACTCTCAGAGATTTAAACCAAGAGCGAGACTTTACCGAAGAAACAATGAAACATTTTCTCGAAGTATATAATTCCTCAACACATTCTACAACAGGACATACACCAAATTCAATGACACAACAACAAGAAGAAAAGTATATACAAAAGAAACGAAGCCAAACACAAAATATCAGAAATTCAACACAATTTACCCTCATTCCTGGAACAAAAGTTCGTGTAGTTCTTGACGACAAACCGTTGACAAAGAAACGTTTAAGGTTAAGTAGAAACTTATATCGTAGACTCTACACAAGGTAATGGATATCTTATAAAAGCTGCCGACGACTCTATTGCGTTTTACCCTCGTCAGAAATTAGTTGAAAGTAGTAATGGCAAACTTGCTGAAACCATTGACGAAGCAAAGCGAGGAGTGGTTATTGAAATACTTGGCTACAACATAAACGATGACACTTATAAAGTAAGATATGAAGGAGGTGTTGAAGATGTTATACCATCTAAGAACTTGAGAGAGTCAAAGCCAACACATCTGGGACCATTAGAGCGGGAGTACTGGAAAGACAAAAATATGCCAGAAAGAATAAGAAAATTCTTCTAAACTTTTTCATTAGATGTAAATCAGACAAAAATAATGTTTAGGGTAGAAGGTTAGATCTAACCTCTTTTCTCACCTCTTTTCTACCCTCTTGAATTTTCATGATTTCATCGTACATGCTTTGTCAAGACTTCTTCGTAAATGTTTTGTCAAGACTTCTTCATCGTAATGAGCGTAAATCAGACAAAAATATATTTTAGGTGAAGTGGTGAGATCTCACCTCTTTTCTCACCTCTTTTCTCACCTCATGAATTTTCATGAATTTTCCCGAAATAAAAAATAAAGTTAGTTTTATTTTTTTATTTTTTTTTATTTTGTATGTAAAGATATGATTTCAACAATCGGCACAACAACAATTCAAACAACTTCACCAAACTCGTTTGTCATGAATCCAACATCTATGTTAGTAGAGATGAAAAGCTTCATTCCTTCTTCATATACTTTCGAAACAAAAATCCAGAAGATAAAGCAAGAACTTTTAACATGTAATTTAGACTGTAGTGCGAAAGATGAAACAAATGAACAGTATCTTTATGAAATGCAGGACATTATTGACCATTTACCTAAACTACCTGAAATCCAACAACAAAAACTCACTATTCCTGAATTCGATGAAATAGAAGTCAAAGCAACTGACTCAGTAGAAATAAAGAAGTTCATACGTAAAGTAAATTATGAATTCCTTGGTTTTCATTGCAACCATAAAGTTATGGACAAAGATTGCGACATGGTTTATAAGAATGTTTCTGACATATATAAATCCGGGGAGTTTAAGACCTACGACAACTTTGTTTCGTTAGTTGCAGAATGTGTATGGCAGATAAGAGATAAAGATAGAAGAGGTAAGGTATGGAATGAACAAATAAGACCCGCTATGTTTGAGATGAAGAGAGCAATTGACGCTTTAGTTGTTTTAGCTGGTTTTATTTCAATGTATAACGCAAAAATGAACCCACAATGTTCTAAATGTAAAGCAGCAATTAGGAAATATAACTACTCCGTCAAAGAGATAGAAAGAATGCGAAACGACTATGCAGACTTAAAGAAAGAAGCAGAAAAGCCAGCAGAAGATAAAATGGACATGTTAGCATTTCTGAACAAAAACTATCCAACAGCAGAAGATTTCCTATTATCTGACGTCAAGAAGAAGTATAAAGAAACTTTCGGCATTGTTAAAACATTCGATGTACTAAAAGAAGAAATAGAAGCTACAAAACTGTTTAGGATTTCAAATATACATCGTACAATTCATGTAAAACGCTTGTGAAAAAAAGAGGTTAGAAAACAGGTGAGAAAACAGGTGAGATCTCACCTCTTCACCTAAAATATATTTTTGCTGAAAAATGACCAAATTTCATGAATTTCCTTAAGACAAAAAAATAAAGTTAGTTTTATTTTTATTTATTTTTTTATTTTGTATGTAAGAACAGAAATGACAAACATTGAGTTTGAAACAGTTAAAAAGATAGACAATGACACCAAAGTGGTTAGAATAGGTGATTTAAACGTAAGATACTCAAAGAAATACAACAAATATTCTTTGTCAGACATTATATCTCCATCTGGAAAGAAACCGAAGGACTGGGTTAGAATTGCTTCTACTCAGAAAATTTTGACAAGAAATCCTGAGCTTATAATATCGGTAAGATTCTATGGAACTACAGCATATCTCATTGACAAAAGTCTTATACCAATAGTTTTGTTATGGTTAGACCCAGTTGTTGGATATAACTTCATAACATATGGTTCATTCGATACGGAACGTTGCAGTGAAGGCTTACTTTACATCGTTCAGAAACCGAAGGACTTCAACACAAAAAGATATAAGATAGGAAGAACATATAATATAACTCTAAGATATGACAGTACAGTCAATAGAGTCAAGGTTGTGTTCGTTAATGATATGAGAGCTGCAGAAACAGAACTACTTGAAAAGTTTGAGAAAATGTATGGTGCTCCCATAAAAGGTAAAGAAACGTTTGAAGTAGATGAGATAGATAAAGCTATAAAATTATTTGACGAAGTTGCTGAAAAATACATGTAAAAATAACGTTTACCATGTAAAACGCTTGTGAAAAAAACAGGTTAGAAAACAGGTTAGATCTAACCTTCTACCCTAAAATATATTTTTGCTGAATTCAGCAACAAAATTCTGAGTAAAATGGCATAAGATTGCTTCCCTCGGAAACAGTGAAGAACAGCGAGTACGTAAGAAACCTTAGTCGCCAAAACTCTATGAAAATCATGAAGAACAGCGAGACCGACTTTTATCTGGGTCGCCAAAACTCTATGAAAACAGTGAAATTTCTCTAGACCGACTTTTTTCGGTCTTGCATAAAACTCTATGAAAACAGTGAAGAACAGCGAGTACGTAAAAAAACGTAGTCGCCAAAACTCTATGAAAACAGTGAAGAACAGCGAGTACGTAAAAAAACGTAGTCGCCAAAACTCTATGAAAACAGTGAAGAACAGCGAGTACGTAAAAAAACGTAGTCGCCAAAACTCTATGAAAATCATGAATTTCCTTAAGATAGAAAAAATAAAGTTAGTTTTATTTTTATTTATTTTTTTATTTTGTATGTAAAGACAGATATGTCAACAACAGAGAACACAACAACTGCTATCGTTCATGAAGCTATAAATGAAGAATACGAGTACATACAGTTTAACAAACAACTCCGTCTCATTCGTTCAGTCAAAGACGATATGTACCAAATGCAAAGTATTTTGACAGCATGTTTTGCTCCAGATACTAAGAAACCACAAGACTGGTTTAGGAACCAAAGCACACAAGAACTTTTGAGCGAAGCACAGCGAGACCGACTTTTTTCGGGGTCGCCTAAAACTCATGAAAATCGTGAAAAATTGCCAAACGGTTTGAGAGGATATTATGTACATAGACTTCTTGTAAATGCTGTTGCAATGTGGGCTTCGCCTCGTTATGCTTGGTATATTTACAGACTTCTTGACGAAATTCATAGACAAGAACGTGAAGAGCTAGAGAACAAGCTTGAAGCAAAAGACAAAAGCATTCAGAAAAGAATACCACGTTCGGTACCAAAAGGAAAGGAAAAGAACTATAAGTATATGATAGTTAGTATACATATCTCGTGTACGGAGGCACTGCGTTCCTCCGTACGCAATACTTGTGAATTTGACACTTTACAAAACCGTTAACGTATATTTTACAACACAAACACAAACACCAACTTAACCTTAAATATTTATAAAGCCGCCAACCACTTCACCTTACTACTGTAAAAATAAACGTTCTCACTTACAAAAGTATTGCAACTCTTCCCATTGCTGTGCTTCACACAATAGTTCATATTCTTCAGTATCGCTGCTGTCGCTCCAATCGTCAGAGTCAAAGTCACTGTCAAAATAAATGTTAGTAAGTTTTGACAAAGCTAATGAAACACGTTTACCGTTTGTATCGTATGCTTGTATAAACTTTCCATTCTTCATTCCTTCATAAACGCTCAAACTAACTTTACCCTTTCTCCCTCGTATCTGATAGAATGTATTTTCACGAGGAACGAAGAACAAATTCTTGAACTCATGACCGTTGTAGTTTGTTATCTCAATAGTTTTCGTCATTTATATAAAAATAAACTTAAAAATAATTTTAAAAATAAACTTAAAAATTAATGATATCACCACCCTCACACGTATGAAAACATAGCACAAAAATAATGTTTATGTTAGAATGTTAGATCTAACACGTTTTCTAACCTCTTTTTTCACCCTGTTGAATTCATTGCTTTATAACTCTCTTCCTTGGTTTCTTTTTAGTTGCTTTCTTCACATCTGTCTCCAACTTGACTGTCTTTCTTCTTCGGCCGTAATGATACCAGTTACTTCCACCAGTCAATGGGTCAAATGGTCTTTCGTAAGGGTTTCCATACATTCCATAGGGACCATACGGAAGAACTACTGGTGGAGAAGAAACATTTTCTTTAGTTCCATCGACTCTATTTAAATGCATTGTTTCACCTTTCATCTGGTCATTAAAGTCTTTTGCGTGTTTTGCAAACTCATCGTCCTTTCCTAAAGCATTTTCTGACTCAGTCGCAACCAAATTGGATGCTTTATTTATGAGCCCTATTTTATTTAATCTTAACTTCTTTGCAACCCAGCCTCCAATCTTTCCTTTATTTGCATCTAATGTCTTCGAAACCCTTCCTCCACTCATTTTATTTACTGCGTCATAAGCTCCAAGTGCTTTTGCTCCAAATGCTAATGCTTTTGTTCCCATTGCGCCTAAAGCTGCCCAAGCTACCATTTACACCATATTAAAATCATCTCTCTTCAATATTATCTCATAAAAGTTCTCGTTACTGGAGAAAGTCAATGAAACAAAAGCGTTCTCACGGGCTTCGCCCTCACCGCTTTGCGGTCTATCTAACTTCTTTCTTATATCATCTATACGCTTCAAAATGTCTGAACAATTGCTAACATCTTCTACAACAGTTATTTCATCATGAATGACCTTCAAGAACAAGCTCATTTAATATGCTATTAAAATCATCTCAATAATGAGTCCATCCTTTCCATCTTTAGGTAGCACAACATCTTTCATTGAAGAAGGTTCGACAAGTCTTATGTTAAACTTACTGACAAAGTTTGTTATACTATAATGCTTCGGCGGCGAATACATGTAGTTTGAAAGACATAATATAGATTCTTCAGCAAATTCACTTATACTGGATTTTATAACAATGTTCTCACGAGACCAAATACCACCAATTGACAATCTTGTAAGCAATCCTGCTGAACCTTCTACTGTAAACGTCGATGGTAACATTCCACGAAGGTCATCTATTGACATCTTTGAGTCACTGAATTTAAATATTTTCTTAAAGCAATCGTCATTATCTAACCATGCAATAGCTTTGAAGTTTTCATTCGAATATACATCTGCTTCATTAAATGTAAAACCTGACTTCTTTGCAGAGACGATTTTAAAATCTATTGCATTTGTTTCAAAATTATATGCTATGGTAACTTCTGAAGGTAATGGATGTCCTTCCGCAGTCAGTTGTTCTCTCACTACCGTTTGAAGCTTTGTATTAAAAACTTTCATGTCATCTCCTGTATCTAAGTTCACATACACAGCAACAGGGAAACTATCTTGCTTCTTTGTTTCATCATTATATCTCAAAACATTAAAGTTCTTCAATAATATTGTCCTTCCTGCTGGAATACTTCTAACTTGTCTGATTTCAATAGCTTTCTCACCTCCTACATACTCTACCCAGTGTCTTGGATATTCATAAGTATACTGACTTTCTTGAATTTTGGTTGGTTTCATCATAACGTGTTCATAGTATATCTTTATACTCTTGTCAGTTAGACTCGGTGCTATGTTCTGAATATTTCTGACTTGCATTTTTAATGGAGATAAAATGAAGCATTTAATACATGACGTAGATGAAGACATGAATGAAACTACAGACAAACTTAACTCTTCTCTTATTCTTCCTTTCAGCAAAGATTATGAATTCTGTTCAAATGGTGTGTATTTCTATTGTGGAAAGATGGGTTCAGGTAAGACATTTAACCTCATTCGTCATATACTCATAACAGAACGTTTAGGAAATGACTCATATTATGACCAAATCATTATATCAGCAACTTCAGACTCTATGGACTCAACAGCGAAAACATTTATGTCAAAGTTCAAGCCTCTGTCGTTAAAGTTCCAGACAGTGAACTCATTGAATTTCTTCAACGTTACATTCGACGTAAGAGAAAATATTATGCCATCGTGAGTTATACAGTCAGGAATGCAAAAGACTTCTGAGGAGATGGAAAGAATTATTGACAAACACCACTTACGTCAATACTCAGGAGTTTACGATATGAAACGACTACAAACTACATTCTATCAAAACTTTCAAAATACCCCTTCAAAAATATCCTTCAAACACTCTGCTCGTTTGCGACGACTTCGCCGGAAAAGGTTTAGTGTCAAAGCCTGACTCACCATTAGCTAACATCATAACTAAAGTCAGACATTACCATTTAACTGTAGCAATACTTATGCAAACATGGAGGTTTTTAGCTTTAAACATAAAACGTCTCATAACTGACTTCGTTATCTTTCAAGGTTTCTCACGCTATGATATTGAACTCATTTGGAAACAGTCAGGTATAACATTACCTTTTGAAGAAATTTGGGAAGCATATAAGTCTCTCATCTCTCCTCGTTCATACCTTGAGATTCATATCATGACTAATACCATTAAAGTCAAAAATATTCCATGGGAACGACCAACATTGTTTTAAAGTTTAACCTTCAATTGACTGATGGTAAACAAATTCCATGCATCTCTGTCGCCATTTCTGTTAATATTTTTGCTGTCATTCATATCATCCACTTCCCCATCGTTAGCTTTTGAGGATATGCGTTAGAATAGCTGTTCTTAAATGAAGGCTTTTCACCTTTGAGAGCATAAACTCTATAACTTTCTGCATACTTTATGTTTGAACCTCCTGAGCCATCATTGACATAAATTTTTATAGGCTTCCACCCTTTGTTCATGTTCCTGCTTCTTCCCTTAGCTCTTTTGTTCAGTAGTTCTACATCTTTATACACAGCACCTGTCTCAGTGAATTCAACAATATTTTCATTCGTTAGCTTTACATTCAAACCCTTGTCGAGTATATTGTTCATTTCATACATATAAAAGGTTTTTATTCTATATGAAATGAGAAGCAAATCCATCTTAGCTGGTGCCGTTAATGTTCCAATTGAACCAACATCAAATGTTGACTCACGAACGACAAACAATATTGTCATAAAGAACTATAGTTCAGAGTGTTTGAAAGAAAAGAACCAGAACCAGAAAACACAGATATCGTGAATTTAAACACAGCTTCAAACGCTAACGCTACATCAGATGTTAAGTTAGAGTATCCACCACTGGACCAAATTCTTTCAAGAGAAGCCAACGACAACCCTTACAAAATGTTCAAACAAATCCTTCAGATAACGTAGACCATTACCTTCTTCAGTATACCAAACAATTTTACTCAAAGACGATAAGAAGCTTTTGACAAATCTTATAAGTAAGAACCAAATAATTCTAACAAAGGAGGACCTTGAAAATGTTATATCACGAATAACAGGGAAACAATGTGTCATTGACTATCTCGACCCTGAAATCGAATGCTGTGGTCAAACTCCACTATTCATGAAAATAGGTAACATCCGCATCATTGAAACACCAGGAACTACAGGAGTTGAGTTTAAGTATAAATATTCGAACGAGTATACAAAACTTTCAACAGAATATAAACTTTGCTTGAAATATGTTTTAGTAAATTAAAGCAATTTGTAATATCTATCCAAAACTTCTTCAACAGTATCGAACTCATCTTCATAATGCAAACCTAATCTTATTGACTTGGTGCAGTTTTCACTAACACAATATAGCGCTTTGCGCTCGGCGCCTTTGACGCCTTTTTCTGTTCTCTTGACTGCATAACTAACTCATTTGTTTCATCAAACAGCAACAACCAAAGTTCATGACCTAATACATAACATTCATACTTTATATTTTTAGCTCTGAGTTCTCTTGTAAGCTGTTGCATTTAATATTTTCTAAAAAGTCAACTTCAACAGTCATTCGCACTGGTGCCTTCAGTTCTACAGGCTCTCCTTGAAAGTCAACAAGTCTGAATTGCATGTCTTTCAAATTATGAGGACTAATGCGAACCCATTTACCTAAATGAGTTGCTATGACAGGAACGTTTGGAATGAACATTGAATTGACTGCATAACAGAAGGATTTATATTCTACTGAACCTTTACTATTAACTCCTGAAATACCTGTGACATTAGCTATTTTTGACTCAACGTACAAACAATTACCATAACATACGTATGGAACAGATTTCATCTCAATCGTTTTGTCAACACTTTTCAAAGGAAATGTCATATGGTATGCTCCCAGAAGAAGTTGTACTCTATGACTCATTCTTGTATCTTGAACTCTTTCTTGCTACTGAACTTCAATGTTCCCTCAGAAGAGAGTTCGACATCTATGTTGTCAATAGTTTCTTCATTTATGAGAGTATCTATGACTCCAGCAATTTTATCTATTCTATACTCGGCTCTGTTAGGAAATGTTATAAAACTTCTTTTGTCATCTATTTCAATCTCTATGAAATCTGTTTCATCTGTTATGACAAAAGTTGCGATAGTATTGAAGTCAACAACTCTGAAAGCAAGCGCTTCATTCTGAAGACCTAAGTTTGTTTGTAGCTTTACTGTCCCGTATTCGTTTGGGTCTGTACTTTGCAAATAGAACAACATTTTATTCTCATTAAAATATGACTATTGCTGCATATGCGTATGAAACAAATGAAGCAAGAAGAGCACATGAACTAGTAAACGAAAACTCAACTTTAACCATTGAAGGCAATGATTTAGTCATTGACGATGGAAAAACTAAAAAAGTCATTGATTTCGATACTTTTAACACTTATGACCCATTCATTACAACAAGCAAGGTTCCCATCATAAATGATGGAACGGTGCAATATATAAATTCTACAGTAGATGCCTCATTAGTGAAAGTATTAAATGTTCTCATTGAATTGTTAAAGAGCTTTCGATTTGACGACAACATTAAATGCCTAAAGAATTTAGTCATGAATGAGAAACAAATTCTCGGCGTTGCTGGTAGCAGTAATGATGTACACCTTATGACATTAGAATATTATAACGAACATAAAGATGAACTGAAAGGAGAGAAGGGTGACACCGGACCTCAAGGACCCAAGGACAAGGAATACAAGGAATACAAGGAATACAAGGAATACAAGGACCTCAAGGCGAAAACGGTTTGGATGGAAAGGATGGAAAAAAAAACTGCTAAATCATGGATATGGGACCTTATAAATACTGGTTTAACAGCTGCTTCATATGGAGTTCTTCAATACCAAATCGGAAAGATATGGGCGGTACTTGGTGAAGAAGTTTTAAATGACGTTAAAAATGCTTTGAACTTCATTTCAAATGGTTCGGATACTATTAAAACTTTATCTGGTTGGATGCAAGAAACAAGGAGTCAAATAGATACTGTAAGACGTATAGCAAACAATGCACGTACGGGATTGGATACTTTACGACAAGCACAAAATACACTAAAGGAAGCAAATGATATTCTTGGCTCAGTATCAGACATGCATGAAGATTGGCTTAAAGGTATTGACAAATCTTTAAAAAATCACAGTCAGTCTATTGCTGACTACAAGAAAAGTATAGATTTTTTACATAGTGCTATGGACGTACATGATGGAAGCATAAGGAACTTACTTAATGCTAACAATAACTTACCAGGAACTATTAAAGCATTTATAAAGTCCTTTGTAAAACCCGGTGCTCTAACATTTAGGTCTTTGAGAGCAAGAGCATTGAAGTCAAGAGATGCAGAAACTCCAACAGAACCTACAGAAGGAACTGAAACAACAGAAACTCCAAAAGAACCACCAAAACCAACAGCTAATGAAATATTGTTCGAATATTTTCCAAGGTACTCTGTTCTCATTGCATACATTCAAGAAATACTTAAGAAAGCAGACTTGACTTTAGGAGATGATGAAAGTTCTGTATATCTTTCGTTCCAGTTTCAAATAGCAGAACTTTTGAGACAGATATGCTTAATGTATGACAACATCTCTGATTTCACAAGATATGATGACGACCATGACCCCGAACATGGTGAAGAAGAAGTTTTACAAACATCCATTAAGACAGGAAAGGTTTTAACTCAAAGTCTCATTATTGACACCAAAGATGGCGAAGTGGACGTTCTTCAAGAGCTGAAGAAAAATACTTCTTCGGGAGGTGGTGGTAGGCATGAACTTGAAATAAATGAGATAGAAGAGAAATTAGCCGAAAAAGCAGATAAAGAACATAAACACAATATCTCCGATATAAATGAACTTCAAGCTACATTAAATAGTAAAGCGGACAAAAATGAACTTGACGCAATGAACAAAGTTTTGAAATCTCATAAACACAACATCTCCGATATAAATGAACTTCAAGCTACATTAAATAGTAAAGCGGACAAGAACCATGTTCATTATATAACTTCAGACGAACAGATTATAACGGACTACCATGGATATTTAACACGAAGTGATGAAGCGAAGACAAAAAATGTTAATGAAAGAAGATATAAATACATTCGTGCTAAAGGTTATGACATAAGCTGTACTGTACAGTATGATGTAGCTAAAGCACCAGAAGCATTTGGTTATACCGGTGAAATTTATGCCTCTACTTTCAATGTTAACGGTGTATTAGTTGAACCAAGATTTATGTTAAGAGTTAAGGCAAAAATAACGTTTGAAGATGCTATTAAAAGTAAAGCTGACAAAGTTGAACTCGAAGCAACGAACAAAGTTTTGAAATCTCATAAACACAACATCTCCGATATAAATGAACTTCAAGCTACATTAGACAGTAAAGCTGACAAGAACCATACACATAAATCCTTCACTACTGTTAGAGCAGACGACATAATATTGAACTTTGACCTTGGTTCAAGTGCACCATTAGAAAATCCAAGTACAAGCGTAAAAGATACTCTTAACAGTTTAGATAAGAGTTGCAGGAACATTGAAAGTCATGCCAGAAACTTTGAAGCATGAACTACCGCAATGTTAGATAAGAAAGCAGACAAAACTTATGTGGATGCAGAACTAACAAAGAAATTTTCGAAACCAGATACAATGACATTTACAACAGAAATTATAAATGGTGAACCAGCAACTCCATTTGAATTTGTTAGAGGTCTTCAACCAGATACTTTTGAATTTTTCTTGGATAATTCTATTGAACTAACATTACATTATAAAAGTGGAACAAATGCAACATTTCATCCGGGAGATACATTCCAAATGGTATTTAATGACATAAGTTCTTTAGAATATGTTTATAGAGTTATGAGCATATATGATTTAATATATCCTATAGGAGCTGTTTATACGTCTATGAATCCAATAAATCCAAACACTTTATTTGGTGGTAGATGGTATGAAATAGTTGACAGTTTTCCATTCTACACTAATACTCAGTCAATGAAGATGGGAGGTTCAAAGAAAATAGGTATTGAAAACCTTCCTTCACATATGCATAGGTTCAGTGGAAGAACATCTGTGGAAGGAAACCATTCACATTCAATAACAAAAAGAGGTTATACAAATCTTGCAGCGGGTTCGGATAGACAGGGAATGCATAGATATGATATCACAACTGACCCCAAAGATGTTAGCACAGGTATTTTCTGTGGAACTGCAGGAAATCATACACATGTTGTAGCTGGTATTACAGACCCAGCAGGTAATGGAAAAGATTATATGCCTCCTTATATAACAATGCACGCTTGGATACGAGTTGGTTAAAATCTTTAACTTTACATAAATGAGCTTGAAAGAAGTATTCGAACAACATCCATGGAGGTCATTTAAGAAATTCAATGAAGCTGCAAAGAGTTGGGGATTTACTAACAGAGCTGAAGTGAAAAGGTTCTTTGACAAAAATGTTGTACATCAAACAAAAATAAACCCTTACGACTACTTTTTACCAATTTACTCCAACACTCCTGACGCATACCAATTTGACACTCTCATTCAAAGCAGAAAAGGAGGACATAAACCATTCCTCATCTTCATAAATGTTAACACTCGTAAAGCATATGCATATCCAATGAAAAATAAAGGAACTCGTGAAGTGTTAAGAGTTTTACAAAAGTTTGTAGCAGAACATAACCCAAGTACTTTAACATCAGACCAAGACAGTGCATACCTCAGCAATGAAATCACAGAATTTCTCATTAAGCATAACATAACTCACTACACTACTGAAGACCATAACCATAACATACTCGGCATCATAAACCGCTTCATAAGAACGCTCAGAGATTTAAATCAAGAGCGAGACTTTACCGAAGAAACAATGAAACATTTTCTCGAAGTATATAATTCCTCAACACATTCTACAACAGGACATACACCAAATTCAATGACACAACAACAAGAAGAAAAGTATATACAAAAGAAACGAAGCCAAACACAAAATATCAGAAATTCAACACAATTTACCCTCATTCCTGGTACAAAAGTTCGTGTAGTTCTTGACGACAAACCGTTGACAAAGAAACGTTTAAGGTTAAGTAGAAACTATTATATCGTAGACTCTACACAAGGTAATGGATATCTTATAAAAGCTGCTGACGACTCCATAGCATTTTACCCTCGACATAAGTTAGTTGAAAGTAGTAATGGCAAACTTGCTGAAACCATTGACGAAGCAAAGCGAGGAGTGGTTATTGAAATACTTGGCTACAACATAAACGATGACACTTATAAAGTAAGATATGAAGGAGGTGTTGAAGATGTTATACCATCTAAGAACTTGAGAGAGTCAAAGCCAACACATCTGGGACCATTAGAGCGGGAGTACTGGAAAGACAAAAATATGCCAGAAAGAATAAGAAAATTCTTCTAAACTTTTTCATTAGATGTAAATCAGACATGAATGAGAACAGTCATGATATCATTAATGGTACCATTTATTTACACCAAAAAATAATGTTTATGTTAGAATGTTAGATCTAACACGTTTTCTAACCACTTTTCTAACATGGTCTAAAACTCTCGAAAATCATGAATTTTTGACATTTCCTTATGAAAGAAAAATAACGCTAATTTTTTTCTAAGAAAAATTTTTATCTTGTATGTAAAGATATGATTTCAACAATCGGCACAACAACAATTCAAACTACAGCACCAAACTCGTTAGTCATGAATCCAACATCTATGTTAGTAGAGATGAAAAGCTTCATTCCTTCTTCATATACTTTCGAAACAAAAATCCAGAAGATAAAGCAAGAACTTTTAACAAGTAATTTAGACTGTAGTGCGAAAGATGAAACAAATGAACAGTATCTTTATGAAATGCAGGACATTATTGACCATTTACCCAAATTGCCTGAAATCCAACAACAAAAACTAACTATTCCTGAATTCGACGAAATTGAAGTCAAAACAACTGACTCAGTAGAAATAAAGAAGTTCATACGTAAAGTAAATTATGAATTCCTTGGTTTTCATTGCAACCATAAAGTTATGGACAAAGATTGCGACATGGTTTATAAGAATGTTTCTGACATATATAAATCTGAAGAATTTAAGACCTACGATAACTTTGTTTCATTAGTTGCTGAATGTGTTTGGGAAATAAGAGATAAAGATAGAAGAGGCAAAGTATGGAACGAACAACTAAGACCCGCTATGTTTGAGATGAAGAGAGCAATTGACGCCTTAGTTGTTTTAGCAGGTCAAATTTCAATGTATAACGCAAAAATGAACCCGCAATGTTCAAAATGTAAGGCAGCGATGAGGAAATATAACTACTCCGTCAAAGAGATAGAAAGAATGAGAAACGACTATGCAGATTTAAAGAAAGAAGTAGAAAAGCCAGCAGAAGATAAAATGGACATGTTAGCATTTCTGAACAAAAATTATCCAACTGCTGACGATTTCCTTCTATCTGACGTCAAGAAGAAATATAAAGAAACCTTCGGCATTGTTAAAACATTCGATGTACTAAAAGAAGAAATAGAAGCTACAAAACTGTTTAAAGTCATGAACCATCGCAACATATACCATGTAAAACGCTTGTAAATAGTTATGTTAGAAAAGAGGTTAGAAAACGTGTTAGATCTAACATGCTAACATAAACATTATTTTTGCTGAATTCAGCACAAAATTCTGAGTAAAATGACATATGGCACGTGTCAAACCGTTGAGTTTTCACAAATTTTAAAAATTGCTGCGGAAAGTTCGTCAAAAAAGTGAAGGTTCCCGACGGTTTCAAACCGCCATACTTTACATGAAGATAGTTTACAATGTCAACTAAATATCATGTACGATAGAAACGGTTATGTAAAGTTTACATTTTGTAAAGTTTTGTCCTGATTCAAGACAAGTCTTGTATTTTTTCAGAACAAGTCTTGTATTTTTTCAGAACAAGTCTTGTATTTTTTCAAGACAAATCTTGTCCTGATTCAGAACAAGTCTTGCACTTTTTAGTCAGTTTTTCTTGTAAAGTTCTCAAATTTGAGAACAATTGTCCTGATTCAAGACAAGTCTTGTATTTTTTCAGAACAAGTCTTGTATTTTTTCAGAACAAGTCTTGTATTTTTTCAAGACAAATCTTGTCCTGATTCAGAACAAGTCTTGCACTTTTTCAGGAAATCCTATCGTCTAACTTTACAAATGTCACTTTTTCAACATGATTGCATTTTGGTCGGGAACAACTTTCTCTCAATTTTGTCACTTTTTTCTATCGTCGTGTTTTGTCACTTTTCCCTCAGGGTGTGTGTCAGAAAATATCCAAAATCTTTATAGCCTCGTATCTCCTTCAATTCTTGACGGCTTGACATGTATGACACACCATTCAATTCAGAATTATGTGCTGAATCTTATGACCTTCATTTGTTCGTGACTTCTTTTCACATATGTAACCCTGAATTTTTAACATTTCTTTAACACAGAAAAATAAAGTTAGTTTTATTTTTATTTATTTTTTTATTTTGTATGTAAGGACAGATATGTCAACAACAGAGAACACAACAACTGCTATCGTTCATGAAGCCATAAATGAAGAATACGAGTGGGTTCAGTTTAACAAACAACTCCGTCTCATTCGTTCGGTCAAAGACGATATGTACCAAATGCAAAGTATTTTGACAGCATGTTTTGCTCCAGACACTAAACACGCAGACGACTGGTTCAAAAACCAAAGCACACAAGAACTTTTGAGTGAAATTTCTCTAGACCGACTTTTTTCGGTCTTGCATAAAACACATGAAAATCGTAAAAATTTGCCAATAAATTTAAGAGGTTATTATGTTCATAGACTTTTAGTAAATGCAGTTGCAATGTGGGCTTCTCCTCGTTATGCATGGCATGTTTACAGACTTCTTGACGAAATTCATAGACAAGAACGTGGAGAGATGGAAAAGAAACTTCAAGCAAAAGATGAAGTCATTGAATCCAAAGACAAAAGCATACAGAAAAGAATACCACGTTCAGTACCAAAAGGAAAGGAAAAGAGTTATAAGTATATGATATATACTGAAGAGTTGGAGAAAGAAGAAGAAGAGATATGGTTATGTTGCATTTAGTCAGAAGAAACAACAAAAGCTTTTATGACCTTGCTAAGATTTACAAATCTGACAGAAACTGGTTCTATCGTGAAAACTTACCGATTTCAATGACACCGAATGAGCAAATAAAAGGAAATTGTCAAAAATACTCTTCCTCAAACACACTATGACATCAAAGGTTGCACAATACTTACATTCAAAGAAGACTTAACATTACTGAAGGAAAAAATAACAGAATATTTCGATAACTTCAAAGAGGAAGAATAAAAAAATCTAAGCTAATTTTATTTTTTTTATAAAATTTTATCTCATATGAAAGAACATGAATTTAGAATATTCGGAACTCATGACAGAAGAAGAGAACGAACAACATGTAAAAGATTATGCAAAATTTCTGAAGACATACAAAGCATTTAAACAATATCTAAATGCTTCTAAAGATTATGCAAAATTTCTGAAGGTATATAAAGCTTATGAAAAAGCGTATGAAAAGTTTATACATTGGGGAATTGTTGTAAAATATCGATATGAAGACTAACCAAAAATATATTTTTGCTTAAATGACGTCAGGGTCAATTTCTTCAACCATTTCACTTCCTTCGTCAATGTCAATAGAAGCTTCTTCAACCTTTGGTAAGAACTTTTGTATAACATCTTTGTTCGTTATTGTTTTCAGAGATGAAGAATAATATTTCACATTTGTTTCACCCTTCTTATATTCTTTCTGTTCGGAAAGATTCATAGCAATACTGAAGAAGTCAATGTTGGAGTTCTTTATAATAGTATAATGAGTATCTTTGACATTCACGAAGAAACCTTTTGTTTCAAAACTACTGCTAACTCTTGTGAAGTATAACGTTTGCGGTCAATGACAATAGCTAATGGTCTGACATACTGACCAAACTTAGATTCTTTCACAAACTTCTTGTTAAAGATAACATTGACGTTTGAAGCATTGAACTCATTCTTGATGACAGTAGCGAGAGCATTGTATGAAAAGAACTTGCAATCTTGCATGTGTTTCATTAAAATAAAAATATTAAATTATTTTGAAAAATAACTTAAAAAAATCTAATCTAATTTTTCAAAAAATATTTTTTTTATTTCCTACTAAAGATGTATCGGAAGTTGTCTAAGTTAGAACACTCGGAAATAAAACAACTTCTTACAGAAGCTAATATAGATGTTGCAAAGCATTACACAACAAACAAAAAGGCACTCGCTGACATC